GGTGGGGGGGGGCGGGCGGATAGTATTAACATAAACAGTCCTCTCCTTCTCATAAGGGGCGGAGACGCCCCTCCGGGCCATGTGTGCCCTTCCACCTCCACCCGGACCACATCCTCCCTCCCAAACACATTATGGGATAGGCCCTCGAGGGAAGGGTCTGGGAGACTGGTGACAAGCGGAGGCAGTGGAACCTATCAAATGCTTTCACGCATTTGTTTCTCCAACTCTAACTTGGGCAATCTGAAAAAATTCAGTTAAAGAATCAAGGCCACAAAGAGCAGGGCTGCCACGGCTCTGATGTCACACCTACCGACGTGGTAAGGAGGCCAGGGCGGGGGAGGTGCATCTTAGGGAGAGATAGACTCTCCCTCGTGGGCTGGCAGAGCCCATCACCCTCGGGAAGACCCAAGGAGCGGCCTTCCCTCCCGCTAGGGGGCGCCGCCAAAACATGACCCCGTCCTCGGACTTAGACCCATAGAGATAGGAGACCCGGGAGGGGGCACGGAGACCCCTGGGCAGGAGGCACGTGAGGCTGGCTGCGGCCCGCCATGCTTTGGATTTTAGGGTTTTTTCCGGAAAACCCAAGCCAAGCCGCTCTTTAGCTGACAGATGGGGAAACTGAGGGCCAGGGGGCTGATCCCACACAAGGTAAAGGCTGCGCCAGGACGCAGGCATCGCCTCCCGCTCCAAGCCCCTTTCCTGAAATGGCAGGCTCCGAATTCCCTCCCTCTCTCCAGGCTGCCGGGTCCCGCCGGCGAGGCAGAGCCCCTTCCTCCCCTCTCTGCTCGCCCGGCCCGCCTACCTGCCGAACCGTCGGGGCCGTCTTTGTCCGCGCGGCCGGGCTCGCCGGCGCCCTGCTGGCGGTCGTTGTCGCAGCCGCCCTGGTCCAGGCGCGCCTCGGCGCTGGAGCAGCAGTAGCGCAGCGCGCAGCTGCCGCAGCAGATGGTGGCGTCGCCGCCGTCGAAGCGCTCGGGGCACTGGAAGCCGATGCGCCAGACGCCCTGCGCGTCCAGCCAGCCGTGGCAGTACTCGCCGCTGGCCCGCGCCCCCGCCGCCAGCAGCGCGGCCAGCAGCAGCCGCAGGAGCGAAGCGGCATCCCGGGAGGAGGCGGCCGGGCGGCGTCCGCCCCACATGGCACCACCCTGGGCGCGGGCGGCGCGTCTCCAGAGGGCGCAGGGCCGACTCCGGGAGGTGGCGGCCCGGCGCCCCGGTCCCGGCAGCGCTGAGGCCGGGAGCCGCGACGTCCGGGAGCTAAGCCATGCCCTCCCTCGGCCGGCCGCCCGGCCCCAGCAGGGGCTGCCTGTAACTCGTGGGCACTCGCCGATGGAGCTCTCCGGGCGCGACTCAGAGGGCCCCCGGGGCTGCCGTTTCGCAGCCCCCGGAGGCTTCACCGGCGACGGGACCCTCCCCGTGCATCCCAGAGGGGACGCTCGCTCAGGCCGGAGAACCGCTGGGCGCGCCGCTTCGGACCCGGAGCCAGGGCGCTGCCGCACAGTTTAAGCCTCGGGGTCCTGCGCGTTAGTCGTGGCGCGTCTCCTGGCCTTTATTCCCCCCTCGGGCGACGAAAAGAGGCCAAGGCGGCGGGCAGCGGGCACAGAGCTCCGGGCAGCAAGTGCAGCGGCCGGCCGCGCTCAGCCTCCTGCGCTCCGAACTCGGTCCGCATGGCTCCGGCCGCGCCGCCCGGGCCGTCCCCTGGGTGCAGCCACCACGTTCCGCTCCGCGGGCCGGACGGTAGATCCTCACGGCGCACGCGGGCGTCCGGGACGCGGACGAGAACCGACGCGCCCTGCCGGGGTCCCGGGAGCCAGCCGCGGCTGCTGCTGGGCGCGGGTTCAGGCGGGCGGCTCGCCCTGCTCCCCTCCTCTGTTCTCCGGCCTCGGCGCGCTCCGTCTGCCTCCCCCTCACCCCCCGCCGCTGCGCCCTGGGTAGGTGCGCACAGCTGGGCGCCTCCCACGGAAGTTTCGGCCCCCGGGGCTGCGGAACAAGCCGATCGCAGCAGCAGCCCGCCCACCCGCGCGCCCGACCCCGACTCGCCCGCCGCGCCGCCGCGCCGCGCTCTTAAGAGAAGCTGGCGCCGCGGGCGCGCATGCGCGCTGGGGCCGCCCCGCCCTCGCCGCCCCGGCCGCGAGCCCTTCACTTTCTGGCTGGAGCTGCCGCGGGCCGTGGGCTGCCGGGTAGAAAGGGCGCGGGAGACAACGGCGCTCGAGCTAACACAGTAACAGCAGTAACGGCAATAAGGGCAAACCCAACTGTCTTATTGCAGGTCTTAGGCGGCATTCACAGTTCGGATTCTCACAACTTCCCAAAGAAGGATGATAACTGCGCTCCATTTACAGACGCTGAAGTTGCCACTTAGACTCACTGTCCCTCCAGTTCCCAGCCCCTGATGTCCAGGCCACGGCCGGTCACTGACCTGGGGCTGCGTGGTGGGCTCGGGCTTCTACTAGGTGGGGTGGAGACTTGCCAGATTAGGCCGCTGTCCGGATGATCTGTGTCGCTTTTCTTTCTAAATTTGGGCAGAGCCATTTATTGGATTTAAGCAGAAAGGTGCCTCGGCTCCACATTTGGCCCCGATGGTGTAGACAGCTGCGTGAAGCAAACAAGGCTCCGACAGACCAGCAACGCGGCTTTGAGGAGGTGAGATTAATAGCTCCTGCCTTGCGGAAGCTGAAACAACAGGTGCTGATGCTATTAAAGCCGCCGTGATTATTTTTAAAGGATCTGGTGACCCTTCCGACACGGCCTGGAAGTCAGCGACCTGACATCTAGGCCCAGCCCGACCTGAAAAAGAATCTTGCGTTTTTCTGGCTTCAGTTAGTTCATCTTTAAAGTGGAGCATAAGAGGTGCTGACCACTGAGGTTCCCCCCCAAGTCCATGTCTATGGAACACAAAGCAATTTTATTCACAGCAAAGACGCCGCTGTTCAGACATGGTCTGGCACTTGGGCGGGCCGGGTCACCGCGCGGACTGGGGCAGGTTGGCTACCCTGCCACTCGCCCCACGGAATCAAAAGGAAAAACCGACCCTACGCCCTGGAAGCAAACACCTTACTCTTTTCAGTAAACCTCTCTCCAAGCACTGCACTGGATTTCATTGGGCTTTGCGGCAGGGGGAGGGGTATTTTTAGCTTCATAAAATTAGGTATTTTAAATGCACCGGCCACGAACTTTTCTAAACCTAGTAAATGAACGAGATTTTAATATCGAATTATTCGTTCCACAACTACAAGCTAAGCGGTTACAGTATACCGTGTTCTGTGTTGGGTCCTGGGGATTCTCCAAGAAGCCAGACGTGGCCATTTCCTTCAAACAGAGATGAAAGTCTCTGGAAATTGGACAGAGAGACAAAGAACTGAATGAGCAAAGATAGTACAAGTATTATAAAGCTATGATCGGTGATGTACAGGGTCAGTTTAAGCACATAACCTGGGGGTTACGTGCTGGATCCCTGGAGGCAAGTGGGATCAGAAAAATCATCAGAACAACAGCACTTAGACTAAGAGAAGACAAGGGAAGAGTCAGTTTTTCAGATCGAGTCTTTTTCTTAGAAAACATTGGCACTGCGAGCTAACGTGGATTGAAGGCTTACTCCACGCCAGGCACTGTGCTGAGTTTTATGTGCACATTTAATCCTCACAGCAACCCTACAAAGAAGACGTAATGCAGCAGATGGTGGCGTCGCCTCACTCTGCTGGTGAGGATAACTGGCCCAGTCCTTACAGACAGAAAGTTACAGTTTGCCTGAACTCCAAAGCCTGCCCACCACGCTGCTGGTCACCAGTCTGCACCACAGAAAGCCGGGAATTAACTGCTGACTCTACACTAATCACCAGATGGCTAGGCATCATTATTTTCCTGTGGCACCATAAAATGACTGGGGTGGGGTTCAGAGGGTTAATACTTTACTTTTTTTTTTTTTTTGCCTTTGGGGAAAAAATTAATGCAAGGGAATTGTCCACTTCTTCAGACAGTACTTATGCCATATCCTCCTTCCACTATCCATTTATCCTCTTCTCCAAAACACCCATGATTTGTCAGTTTATTGATGAAGAAAGCACTGTTGGCCATTTTCATACTGAAATTGATTTATGACCTGGTAATGCCAGAGCTTAAACACAAGAAGTTTTTCCCAAATGGTTCAGAACCATTAGAATGGTTAGTCCACAATCAGCAGACTTGGAAGTGCAGAGCTTTGAGCAAATTCATCCTCTTTTTTACTGCTGTGTTCCTTTATTCCCTAAAAGTGAAGGAGAGGCCTGTTTCGTGGTTACTCAATGTGGTGGTTGCTTGTCATCAATGCTCATAGAGACTTTATACCACTCTGTTCCTCCCTCTGACTTGATTTTACTTTTTGTGTATCTAGTACGTTGTATTGAAATTTTTTATAAAATAAGTTGTCAAGTACTTACTGAGCATCTCTGTGGGAGGTGGCACTGGGTCATATTAAGGTGGCAATGTTCCTTCCATAAGGAATTCCCTCACCATCCTTGACAGTCTTACTAGTCTTTTCTGAGCAACTGTAACTAGTTATCAAAACATATAGGTAGTAGTAATAATTTATTATAATCAAAACTAAATGTCAGGCAGTCTGCCAAAGTAGATTTAAACACCTATGAAGGAGTGCCCTCCTCCCTCTTAAAAAGTTGAATTCTGTAGACACTAACTGCAGAAGTATATTTTCAGTTTATTTTGCCTTTCAGTCTGTGCCTGCCTCCCTCTCCCTCCCTCTCTCTCTCTCTCTCTCTCTCTCTCTCTATATATATATATATATATATATGAATAAAATGCATTTTATCACCATCTACCGACTCTGAACCTTCGTGTTTTCGAACTGAACTTGATTCTTATTTGGTGCCTCTGTTTTGCCTTTGGACGTTTTCCTCTTCAATTTGTTAAGATGTTTCTTAGTACCTTTCACTCTGCTTGTTCATATAGGATTCCTAGCTGTGACATGGGCTGCAATCAACCCCATTTTAAAGCGCTCATGTGTAGCATCAGCACATATGGTGAAAAAAACGATGTAGTCAGCTTTATCCTTGAATCAGGCTCAGTGCGGCAAGAGGCTCATGATTGCGAGAGGCACGAGGGGGAGGAAACCACTACTTCAGGCTGCTTGATTCACAATCACTGTGATATGTGTGTCTTTTGAGTGGAATGAGGGCAAAATCACACACTTTACATCGTTATTTCTCTCCCTCTCATTATTCTTTTTCCACCAAGCTCCTACACAGTAGTTGAATTTATGTAATTCGAATGTGCAAATGACATACTTTCTTGATAAAACAGAGCAGCCAGAGGAGCTAAGTAAAACACTTATCCTTCTAAAACATAGAAAATCAGTTGCTCAATATTAGTGCATTGTTAACTTTAATTGTAACAGCTAACAGAATATTATATTTTACCTCTAGGGGGAAAAAAAATACAACTGATTTAAAAAACAAACTTCTGACATATCTTTAAGAGTACAAATACAAAGTCATAGGACTAAAGAAATGATTACTTATAACTCAGCTAACTGGAGTTGATGCAAATCATATGGATGTAATCATATTTCCTTTGGCTGGCAGTTCTAAAAGCTGCAAGATCTACAGTGATTTTCTGTGTATTTCAGGAAGAGCAGAGGTTCCTACCATCTGCACACCAGTCAGCAGTCTGTTTAGGAAGAATGGCTTTCCCTGGGTTCATTCACTTCTCTCCCTCCTCTTTTATAAATAGGAGTAGTACTGAAAACTCACATTTGGTTTACCAGAAGTTCTTTTAAGTTAAAGTGTTTGTGTTAACAAATGAGACCGCAAACCCAAACAAATATGTTAATTTACATTTCTTTTAATTTTGTCTTGTGGTTTACTTAACCTCATCTGAAAATAAAAATGGTCATAAAATTTTGGAAAAAAAAAATCTTCCTTGTTGCTTTAAAAGTTTTTCATCTTTCATCCTCCTGTTTTTTCCTTGTAATTAATATACTTTCAGAAAAGTAATTTCCATACTTAAAATTCTTTTTCTTCTCATCTATTAACGTGAAACATCTGACATAGTCTGCTCTCCCTGCCCCATCCTCACCCCTAACCCCAGAGTTTTGTTTTGTTTTGTTTTGTTTTGAATTTATTTGGGGCTGTGTTGGGTCTTCGTTTCTGTGCGAGGGCTTTCTCTAGTTGCGGCGAGCGGGGGCCACTCTTCATCGCGGTGCGCG